TTTTTATGAGTTAAAGTAACTTAAAAACATAAGTTGTCATGGCTTTTTCATCATATAATTTTTTATAGTGATTTTTATTCTTTCTTTTAAAACTTTTATTCAGCAAGGGTGTGTTAAATTGATAAGAAGAAGAATATTTATATTGTTAGAAAATATTTATATTTTGAATAAATGCTGTTCTTTTTAAGTTTTTTAATATAAAAAAAGAAGATAAATATAGATAAAGTAGAATTAAAATAGGATAGAAAGTGCTAGACTTAGAGGGTCAAATAAAGGTGGAACAAATGCGTTTAGTCGTTTCTTGAAGATGGCTAAGGACTCAACTGCTCGGATTGAGTTATAATATATATATATATATATATATGTGTGTGTTTGTGTATATGTATATATATATATAAATATGGATATGTATATGTGTGTGTGTGTGTGTATATGTGTGTATATACAATATATTGTTTTTTATTTTTACTAAGCTTTCTCTCTATTAAATAAATATAAATTGAATAACTAATTTACTTAATAAAATGAAATTAATTAAAATGTGTATTTAAACAATGTATTTTTCTAATGCAAATAACAAATTATTTAAAAATACTTTTCTGCCATATTTGTGTCATATAAACAAATTAAATAATATAAATATAATATCTTGGGTCCTTCCAAGATTCATTCTTACAATTTCAACAAAACATCATCTACTTTAGTCTACTACTTTAGATTTTACTTTATTTCAGACTTAAATCAGTGTGCATGTTGGCCCAATCAGACATGTGACAAAAACCTCTTCCGCACTGTTCTCAGGCATTGCTAAGTGTTGATCTCTAAACAGTCATAGTCAAACATTTCATCTGTCTCTTGCAGGGTTTTGTTATCGAGTTACTGTTGACACTAGAGGCTGGTATAGACACTCTTGCTGAAACAATGAAGAGCTACGACCTGCTCACTGCACTCTCACAGTAAGACATGCTCTGCTATGACAAAACATAAAAAACATTATTTCTCTTCATATATAACAAATTTTTTTACCCAAATAAACCTGAGGCGCTGTCTCCGCCTCTGTAGGGCCTCCCATGATCCTCTGCAGGGCACCAAATTTGCCAATAACAGGAAAAGTACCGGTCAGCTGAACCTTGGCAGTGGAAGTTTCTTGCATGTCCATTACAGCCACGCTCGCAGCAACTCGCTCCGTGCCAATCTGATGGGTGAACGCCTGGGAAACCGTCGCCGCAGCAATACCCTCGATGTAGCCGACCGACTGGGTGGCAGCCACGGAAATCTAGCCCGCACACGGAGCTTATCATCATTACGAGAGGATGGTGTTCGTGGCGATGGAGGAGGTGGAACTGGAGGAGGATCTGGTGAGGTGGTGCCACCAGCCGACCCCACCAACCTGATGGCAATGGTCTTCTGGATTGCAACGTCGCTGCTGGAGTCCGATTACGAGTTTGAGTACTTGCTGGCACTCAGGCTGCTGAACCGACTACTGGGCCAGATGCCCCTGGAGAAGCCGGACAGCAGAGAGAAGCTGGAGAGAGTGCAGGCCAAACTGAAGTGGTACAACTTCCCTGGTCTGCTGACACTTTTCCTGAAGGGTTTCACTTCAGCTGCAACACAGGAGCTCACGATTCACCTCCTCAGTAAACTCATCACTGTGTCCCGACACACACTCATAGACCCCTCACAGCTAGCAGGTGCGCCCATGGTTCAATATTAATATCTGTTTCAGTAATTTAGGGTGTATCCATATATTTATTTTCTGAACCTATTTCCTGTCAGGTTTTCCTCTGAATATCCTGTGTCTGCTGCCACACCTGGTCCAGCACTTTGACAACCCCACAGGGTTCTGTAAGGAGACTGCTGATCGGATCGCCAAAGTGTGTGCTGAAGAAAAGTCAGCCACACTGGCCAACCTGGCACACATGATGAGCTTGTACTCAACGCACAGTTACTCGAGAGACAGCACCAACTGGATCAACGTGGTGTGCCGCTACTTGCACGACTCCTTCTCTGAAATCACCTTTAACCTGGTCACATACCTAGCTGAGGTAAATTTGAATGGAGGAATTTGATTGACATACATTAACTCATATAGTTGGATTCAATAAAAATATCTGAGTTTTTAGAGTTTTTCAGACAGCAATAAATTAAATAATACAGCAGCAATAAAATAAATGTATATATTTGCACACTTAACAAGACTGCAACAGAATGATGACGTCTCAAGCCACATTTTTCTGTCATATAACTTGGTGTTGAAGTGTGTGTGTGTATATATATAATCTCTTGCCTTTTGACCTCTTCTGTTTCAGCTATTGGAGAAGGGCCTGAACAGCTTGCAGCAGTCTTTGCTACAGATCATCTACAGTCTACTGAGTCACATTGATCTGTCTGCTGCTCCTGTCAAACTGTTCAATTTGGAAATCATGAAGATCATTGGCAAATATGTACAGGTCTGTGTACAGCTTACTCTTTCTGTTGTCAACACTCAGAAATCAGTCCCTCCAATGATTTATTTTAGTATGCCTGTCCCATTTCAAGAGATTGTGAAGATTGTGAATTCCTTCATCTGTTCTCCATTGCCTGTGGGTGTGTTTGTAGTAATGGACAGTGGACTTTGCTGTAGTATGTATTTGTCTGTATGAAAGGCCTGGGAGCTGTTTGCTTTGTGAGGCACTTTTGAGGAACTATAAGCTGCATAATCACTTTCCTCCTCTGTGGTCTTTATTGAAGCTTTTCATCTTGTGAGTCTCTCAAGGTTAAATCAGGAAAAAATAGGGGAGGTATGGTGAAAAATGACTCAAGTGTTTTGTTGTTTGTTGTGTCTGTGTGTTGCTACAGAGCCCGTACTGGAAGGAGGCCCAGAACATTCTGAAGTTAGTGGTGTCCCGCTCTGCGAGTCTGGTGGTTCCTGATGAGGTGCAGCGCTCCTACAGCATGGAGTCCACCGGCTCCCCGGAGATCGCTTTTACTCGCATATTCAACAACTCATCTAAAGAACTGCCAGGAAAAACGCTGGACTTCCACTTTGACATCTCGGAGGTGCTTGGCCTGCCATCTTCTCTGTCTTCAGTCACTTTTATTTTGTTTATTGTTCAAAAGTTTGATATCAGTACGATTTATTTTTTTTATGAAATTAATACTTTTATTCAGCAAGGATGCATTAAATTAATCAAAAGTGACAGTAATGTTACAAAGGATCTCTATTTCAAATAAATGCTGTTATTTTGACGTTTCTGGTTATCAAATAGTGAAAAAAAAATATCACTTTCCACAAAAATATGAAAACATTTATACAAAATAAGCAATGTTTCTTGAGCAGCAATTCAGCATATTAGAATGATTTCAAAGGATAATGTCGCACTAAAGACTGGAGTAGTGGCTTTGCATCACATGAATAAATTACATTTTAATATATATTAAAGTAGAAAACAGAAATTATACAAATATTTAACATTATTACTGTTTTACTGTATTTTTGAGTCTCTCTTTTCAGAAACATGAACAAAATCTTACCAACCCCAAATTTTTGAAGGCTTATGTATATCTATTGTAGTTTCAAAACTTTTTTATAAACTCATCATTGTAGCTTTTTTCACATTGTTTTTAACATTTGACCCACAGACGCCTATTATAGGTCACAAGTATGGAGACCAGCGAAGTGCAGTGGGGCGTAATGGAAAACCGCAGGTAATTGCCGTGACAAGAAGCACCTCCTCTACTTCCTCTGGCTCCAATTCAAATGGGCTGGTGCCAGTCAGCTGGAAGAGGCCACAGCTCTCACAGGTATTGTCAACCATTATGAAAATCTGTCAATTCTTAATTAACCAACTGCAGCTTTAATTGCTTTTTTATTTTAACTCTTATTTTAATGGTGATATTTGTTGTTATCTACTTCCAGAGAAGAACACGGGAGAAACTGATGAACGTCCTGTCTCTGTGCGGTCCAGAGTCTGGCATGCCTAAAAACCCCTCTGTAAGTTTTCCTCCTTGTATTCATAACATTATCAGCTTGCATAGTTTTAGCAATGGCTAATTACACCTCTTTTCTGTAGGTGGTGTTCTCTTCAAATGAGGATTTAGATGCAGGTGACCAACAGACCAGTCTGATCCCAACTGTAGAGGAAGTGACACGGGAGGAGGAAGTGCAAGCAGAAGATGCAGGAAGTGAACAGCAGTTTGGTGTCTTTAAGGACTTTGACTTCCTGGATGTTGAGTTGGAGGATGGAGAGGTGAGCACTGATGCTCTTGGCATGTTGCCACATATTTTGATAATTAACAAACAATCCTCAAAGTCTTTTCTTGCAAGCATATCAGAACTGATTCATGTTTCATCATTAACAAAGAGAGAGTCTATGTGTGTTTGTATTTCTCTGACATCACCTGTGTCCGTTTGTGTGTCTCCACATTATCTCTGTCTTAACTCTCCCTAACACTCTTGTTATCTTTTTTTCCTCTTTTGCGTCCAGGAGCTTCAGGTAAGTTTTAAACAGTGTTCAGGGAAAAGTTCGTGTTTTGTTCTATAATTGATTGGCTTCAGCATTCATTTGAAAATGTGCCCATTCAGAAATTGAAATGTGATTCCCGCTAGCCAATAAAGTGGGTTTGTTTTTATACTTGTAGCTAATGAGTTTCACAAGTACATGGATGTTGCAAATAGACTTGTGCCGGTATTCGGTAATGTGATATATCACGGTAATGAATATGCACGATATTGTTATCGTGGGCACTTCTAAATACCGTGAATAATTATATATTACAAATTATTCCGAATTTTGAATGAATTTTAAGAATACTTTTCCCATCAACTGGTCAAAATGCACTCAATTTCCCTAAATCATCCATTTAATGCCGACTTTGCTGCTAAAGTTTTTCCGGAAAGTGTTGCATTTTGAATACTGGGCTCTATCTGTTTCCTCTGCCAGAATACTGGCTCATGTTCTCTTTTCCTCTCACTGGGTGTTGCTTTATGGGGTGCTTGTCAATAGATAATGATTGACTGCTATGAGGGTGGGCTTGCTTGCCTGCTTGATTTTTGATTGGGGGAGAGATTATCAAAGACAAACATACACCTCAGGCCTGCTGTGCTAGAACTACCTCAAATTTGGTCTCAGAAAGGTTGAAAAACACAGACGTTAACACGCTTTAGGCTCTGACGAAGACTACTCACTTCTATCCATGGACCTGCAACCTCATCGTGAGTATTAGTGAAAACCCACCATTCTACGAGATTTGAAAGGCAGAATCCCCAAACATGAGGGCGGGTTTTTTTCCGGTGGAACACAAATAAGGAAATTTTGAAGAAATTTCATGCTGATTTTTTCCATAGAATGAAAGCAGTGACCACGTACTGTTTGTGTTTCAGTGTCATGCCTTTTGGAACGACATAAGGGTGAATAAGTGGCAACAAATTTTTTGGAGAACTATCCCTTTAAATTAAAGAGCATGCAGTAGTTATCAAGTAAAACAAAGGCACAGCCTGACTGAGAGAACATTAAAGACCGCTAACAGGCTTTAGCCAGCCATGTTACTAACAACTGTAACTTAACTAACTGCTGATAACTGATTTTTTCCCCCAGTTCATTTGGTTGATGTTTAAATGACAGTTCTATTCTAGAAAAAAATTATTTTTAGGATGTTCCCCCAGGTCAACCTTCATACACACAACGAGCCATCACTGTTCAGATGATTTTCAGTCAAAATGAAACTGTATGTCCCCTGGTCACAATTCATAGCAGAATACTCCTCCTGTTGATGTTAATGAATGAACAACTTTTGATCAATACCTACTCAGTCCAGCCAAGACCAGTTGAGTCCAGTTCAGTCATACCTCAATATCAGCTCAAGGGCATCTCTCCTGTCATTCTTCAGCTCTTAGCGTAATGAGTCCAGATAAAACCATCGATAGTCTTACTCATCTGCTTGGCCACCACAGCCAAGAACGCCTAAAAGCTTTCTCTAATACCGCCCCTACTTTGGCTCCACGCCACCCTTCCTTCTTCTGTTAATGCATTAGACTCATAAATAGACAGGAGGAGGAGAAGAAGAAAAAAAGAAACTCAAGTTCGTTTAATTAGATGTTTTTTTTTTTTCTTGGTTGTCTCCTTAAAGTATGTTTGAATAAAACATGAGTCTGAGATGGAACAGTTTGTTCCCAGAGATGTTTTACCATCATTCCTGTTGTGTCCTGGAATTTAACTTAATAATAACATCCATCGTACATCTCAAAGATCTTGAGTTTAACAGACGTTGAGCTCATGTGACATTGTCAACTATTGCATCGTTTGTTTGATTGGTTGAAGTTTGAACCTTCAGCTAATCAATTGTAAGTAGTGGCCGACCAATATATTGCCAATATTTGGCATTTTCAGTTAATCGGCATACGTTTGGCTGTGTCTGAAGCAATACTTTTATACAGAGCCCAAGTTCATATATTACATTTTATGTAAAATATATAAAAACTTTAATTGCAGCATGTTATTTACTATTTTTAAATTAAATGCTGTGATATCTAACATACCTGCAAACCTACAAAGCACAAGCGAGAATACATGAATATTGACTTGTGTAAGTATCCATGTGAGGCTCAGGGTAAAGATGTTTCTCCATGATTTTGATTGATTTAATGGTCAGCCGCTATTTAGCTCAGTGCATTTATGTGATTTATGAATGGAAATACAGTGGTCCATTTAATATAGATCCTCTGATGTCAAAGGTTTATTCCTCAGCTGGTCACATTTGCATCGTAAGTCAATGGTGAAAGATTAGCCCCGTACAATTATTGATTTTTCCTCTCATAATAGAAGCACCGAACGCGTATAGCAAGGCCATTTTGTGAGTGGCGGTGATTAAGAGTCCCTTGGTGATGTTCACTCTTAAGTGTGTAATGTTCACCACCTAGCCTGAATGTGGACCCAAATAAATAGTCCTTTCTATTTCAGTAAAAATAAATACAGTTTCTACAGCAACAGTTCTGAAGTGTTGTGCTTAGTGCACACAAGATAATTGAAAGATTCAGTTTTTGTGTGTTATTATTACAGTATAAAGCACTCAGAAGAGGTATTATTGTCCCCCAAAATACATTTTGCCCTCTTTGCCCCAGTCCTGACTTCCATTTAATGTCATGTTCACAGGATGCCAGTGTAACTGCAGCAGATGAATTGAGCAGCAGTGTCAGTGAGGATACGGGGTTTGGCAGTGCTACTCCTTTACCCTCAGACCCCCCTGAGCTCTGTGACTTACCTGACTCCCAGGACCCCACCGACGACCTGGACCCAGCGCCCCCTCCGCCACCAGCTGTGGACAGCCCGCCTGGATCCCTCTTTGATGATGAGCCGGTGCTGCAACCCCCTGTCATAGACTCCACCTTGGACTCCATGTGTGAGGAGGAGACTGTTCTGCCCCTTGCTCTGGACTCGGCCCCCGATTCAGTATGTGAGGAGGACGTGACACTGGCTCTGAAAGAGCTAGATGATAGGTGCGAGGAAGAAGAGGCGGATTTTTTCGGCATGTCCAGGTTGGTCTGTGATTTCTGTAGTAATCATTCACAGGGTTGAAAGTTCATCAGTCATGGATCTGTTCCGAAACCCTACCTTGTTGTCTACTACCAACATAGACTGCTACATTCAAGGCAGCATCCTAACCAAAGTGCATGTCAGGTTACACAACTAGTTCTTCTCACATAAAGCGCAACATATGAAATTATCAGTTATGAAATGTCCACTCCAGGGCTCGCAAAATTTCAAAATCCCTGGTAGCCCTTCGGGCAGGCATGCTTCAGATTTTGGTAGCCCAAAAATGAATTTAACTAGCCCGAATAAAAGATATTGTATTTTTTCTTCAAATAACAAGTCAAGAGAGTAGGGGTGCAACGGATCACAAATCTCACGGCTCGGATTATATTACGTTATCATATCACATTTTGAGTCACAGATCAGATCATTTTTCAGATTTACCATTTAAAAAAAATGGTTCTTTATTATTTAAGTAACA